TTTCTGGGCACATATACATACTGTGGGTGATTCTGTTTTGGGAATGTTTCTTTAATTCACCATCCAGCTGTATGGACAAGTAGGTCTTTCACTGATTGTAAAGGTACTGAGCTACTTATCAAAAACAAATTGTTGCCATCTGTAAAATAAATAACTCAGGGTCTCATAATGAAATTCAGAAATCAAGACAGATGAGAGGAATACTTTGAATATTCAAAGTTTACTTTGCTTTGGGGATGGAGTGATAGTACAGTGGGTAGGGTGTTTGCCTTGCACGTGGAAGACCCATGTTCGATTCTCAGCATCCCATATGGTTCCCCGAGCACTGCCAGGAGTAATTCCTGAGTGCATGAGCTAGAAGTAACCCCTGAGCATTGCTGGGTGTGACCCAAAAAGCAAAAAAAAAAAAGTTTACTTTGCTTTTTTTCTCCTTTTCCAACCTCAGGACTGCAAAAATGGGCCTCTAATCCTGCTGTGGAGTCCAGGGTACAACCCTAACAAGCTTAGAGCATTTGCATTGCAATGCAAAATCCATAGGTGACAAATGAAAGGTGAAGTCCTTTTATCCTTGCCTTCCAATCTGACACCCCTGGTTTCCACAATGGGAAATTTGAGTAACAAAGGACTTGGTACACCATCATGTTCAATAAATGAAAAATGGTCCTAGATTCTACATCATGCCTTATCGGTATCAACACTTTGCTGCAGAAACCTAGGCAAAGAAGAATAACAAGTGTTGAGAATAGCATAAAATGAATTCAGTGGCCATGTGTTCTTTTTTATTTGTTTGTATTTTGACCACATGATTTCATGATGATTTAATGAGTTAATGATTTAATAATGATATAAAGAGGTATTAAGACCCTAACCTGAATTATTTAATTATACCACTATGCATTAGATACATCTATTATCACAATCAACATCACCTTCTTAGAGAAATTCATACTATTTATGAACTCATGACCATAAATCAAAATACATCCTAGTATCAGGTTAAACCTGTTCCCCATTATACCAGGATCTCAACTCTTTGGTCATTGTCATAGACTGAATCCCAACAGTAGGGTGCTAGATTTAAATGGTGTCAGTTGTATTTTAAAATATATTTGTGACACTTCTTTCCTAGAAAAAAATACATCAAAATAGTTGCAGACTCTCCAGAGTCACATAGTCTAAAGATGGAAAAATAAAATCCAGCCAACTTCAACCAGCAGCCAACAGACCACTGCCAGCCCCATGTGTGTAGACAGGATGAAACCACTGGTCTTTCATCTTAGTAATAACAGCCAGTTCATAGACCAATGTGCTTGTCCACAGGTTTTAATAGGTTGAAAAATGCTGAACTAAAATATAGTGCTTGAGTTTATTTAAAAGAATGAATAAAAAAAGAATAAATAAAAAATGTGATTTACCTTAGTGATCATAATTCTCCAAAATCAAAATGCTAAAGTACGCTAAGAGTACAGATAAAACATGGTTGATTACCTTTATTGTCATATGCTTATATTTCTTCCTTAATATGGCCCCTGGATGAAAATCCCAATCCATGAATCTTAAGCTATCTTCCTCTCCACCACTAATGATGACTTTTAGAAGATCAATCAAACAAGACTGTAATTACTGAAATGTAAATAATAATATTCTTTATTTGCTATCATTCTGTAAGGACTTTAGAATTTCCCTGGGAAAGGAAATCTAAGCCAACTAGTCTCAAAACTTAAAAGTAATGTGTAAATTAATCAATGAGTTTACCCTAGTAAGTAAAACCAGAAATATAGTATAAAAGAATTGAAAATTCCAAAACAGGGAGTCAGAGAAATGGTACAGCAGGTAGGACACTTGCCTTGCATGGAATAGACCCATCCTTAGCACACGATATAGTCCTGCAAAGCATGCCAGGAGTGATTTCTGAATATAGAGCCAGGAATAAGCCCTGAACACAGCCAGGTATGGTCCAAAAACCCAAAAATTTAAAATTTAAAAATCTCCATGTAGGGATAAAGAGACAGCTTGGCCTGCTATGTTTCTCATGACAGCATGGAAACAGCACATGTTTCGCATGCTGGAGCCCCATGTTTCATCCTTGGTACTGGTGTCTTGAATATTCCTGAAAGAGAACTCCTGAGTAGTCCCTGAGCACTATTCAGTATGTCCCCAAATCAAATGCACAAAAATTTCCCACGGTCCCTTACAAAGTCTCACCAGAACTAGAGATGACATAGGACAGTAGTGGAATGTGGTGGGCACTTCAATGGTAATGGGGAACAGTAACTTTGCATATCAATAAATTAATACTATTGTACCCAGGTTACTTAAAGTATACATTGTGTGTGTGTGTGTGTGTGTATGTGTGTGTGTGTGTTTAAAGATAAAAGGCAAAAAAGCCAGTCTCAGCAGAGGAATGAAAGATGATGAAGACACCAGAGAAACTAAACTGCTTTCCCCCCCCCAATTTTTCTAACATAATATATTGGACTAAAATTAAGTTGCAAACTGGTACAGTGGTGATACAAATTTTGCTTCATAATATGAGCATTTTAGATTTGGCAAAATGCAGAATAGAGACTTTCGCCTGTATCTTACAAGAAAGTAAACCTAGATGAACTTTCTGCAGGAAAATGGCTATATATATATATACATATATATAGCACTGTATATATATACATAGATAGATAGATAGATAGATAGATAGATAGATAGTAGCACTATAGCACTGTCCTCCCGTTGTTCATTGATTTGCTCGAGAGGTCACCAGTAACATCTCCATTGTCTCCATTGTGAGACTTGTTACTGTTTTTGACATATCAAATACATCACGGGGGGCTTGCCAGGCTCTACTGTGGGGGCGGGATACTCTCGGTAGCTTGCCAGGCTCTCCAAGAGGGGTGGAGGAATCGAACCCAGGTTGGCCGATCCAGGTTTGATTCCCAGCATCGCATATTGTAAAAAACTATGCACGCTGAAGTGTGTGTGTTCGAGGCTCTTAGGGCGGCTCTACCTTACCTTAAGCATTCAGTACTCTAGAGCCACTGTGTGTGGACTGGATAGGGACGGCTGTTGGCCAAGGACAGGCGAAGGAAGGAATGAGAGCCAGGCTGGTTGGTCTCAATAGCCGTTTATTCAAATCTCATCCCCATTCACTCCTGTCTCTTTCTCTCTCTTCTCTCTCCGATCTCGAACCCCCAGCCCACACTTGCAGTCTCGTTAAATCCCCAAAGCATGAGGGTTGGGCTTACACATAGATGTCACAATCAATAGGGGTAAAGTTCTTTCTCTCAGGGGATGCTGCTTCTAGGACAGATTCTCTTTCAGCAGGATGACCCACCCAAGGGCGGAATCCCATGGGTGTGTTTCTCCTCTCCTTGTCCAACAAACGTATAAGCATTTATAATAACAATCATTTAGTATGGACACAGTAAGAGATGCATTAAACTTATAGAATTGCTCTCCTGGGGTCATCTAGATCTCAGACTACAGTGCTCAGGCCAGATTAGTCTTTCCTATTCCTAGCAGGGTCCTAGTCTCATCATTACTTTTGGATCATGACAGTGTTTGTCCATGATTAAGCTCTTAACTTATAGTTAAGAATAGTAGTGCTTTGGCCTGGCCCATTTCAATGCCAGGGTAGCTCAGAGCTTGCCCTGGGTCCCTTCAGTCCCTCATCAGGACCCTGCTTTTGGGGTGCTAGGAACTGAGGGCAACTGAGGCTTAAATTGAGAAAGCAGATGCCCAGAATGAATAATATTTGAAGCCAATTAAATCTCAAGTTACAGAAGCATAATAATTGTCTTCTTGTGTCTATACAAAAGGACATTGCTTTAAAGTAAACTATTCATAAGGAGAGGAGCAAGGCAATATTAAATTACAATACAAGTTTAGTGTCCTAGAAAGCTGTAGTTAATCTCAGACCCACACAAGGCTGAACAGACCAGGGTAAATCAGACGGGGAGTGGGTTGGCCTGGTGTTCATCAAAGCAAAGGGCCTGGCAGCCGCTTGCATCTAAAATTGCCACTATGACCCCAGCTGGACTGCACCATCTCGGGATGGACCTCACCAAGATATAATCTGCTAAAAATTTGGGTATGCAGGTTTTGTGACTGAAATCTTCAGGCTCTCTTGGGCTCGGGATGGGCACCTATTCTCACCACCCGGTACTTCTAGAAGCATCAGCCATCATGTCCACACCCCAAAGCTGCCACTCAGTTAAAAAGCTACTCCGTCTTACCTTCCTGATAAAAATACTGAACACCCTGAACAAACATGATGACCTCTTAGTACCTGTATTGCAAACCATAATGCACAAAAGTGGAGAGAGGAAGAAGAAAAGTGTGAGCCATAGACTCAGGCTGGGGGGAGGGGGTGTTGGGTTTGATCCCAGTACCCCATATAAGTCCATCAAGCCTGCCAAGAGTAATTCCTGAGTGCAGAGCCAGGAGTTAGCCACACCTCTGGTTGAGGCCCAAAAATTTAGATAAAAATAGATAAATTTTCGAGCTAGAGTGATAGCACAGCGGGTAGGGCATTTGCCTTGCACGCGGCCACCCCAGGTTCTATTTCTATTTCCAGCTTCCCATATGGTCCCCTGAACAGGAGTAATTCCTGAGTGCAAAGTCCGGAGTAACCCCTGAGCATCGCCGGGTATGACCCAAAAAGCACTGTCGCACTGTCACCATCCTCCCATTGTTCATCGATTTGCTCGAGCGGGCCCAGTAATGTCTCCATCGTGAGACTTGTTACTGTGTTTGGCATATTGAATACGTCACGGGTAGCTTACCAGGCTTTGCTGTGCAGCGAGATACTCTCGGTAGCTTGCTAGGCTCTCTGAGAGGGGTGAAGGAATCGAACCTGGCTCAGCCAGGCCGGCTGTGCGCAAGGCAAACACCCTACCGCTGTGCTATCTCTCCAGCCCCAAAAAGAAAAAAAAAGATAAATTTTCAAAAGATCTAAAAGAAAAATTTTAAAGTTTTAATTTTTATTTTTATTTAAAATATTTTTAGTGCTCACTTCAGCAGCACATATACTAAAATTGGAATAGAATTATACAGAGAAGATTAGTATGGCTCCTGAGCAAAGATGACATATGAATTTATGAAGCATTTTGTATTTTTAACATGATGACCTCTCAGTATAAGTATTGCAAATCATAATGCCCAATAGGAGAGGGAGAGAGAGAGAGAGAGAGAGAGAGAAGAAAAGTGTCTGCCATAGAGGCAGGGTGGGGTAGAGGTAGGAAGGCGTGCAGGAGGGATATGAGGAATATTGTTGGAGGGAAAATGTACATTGTTGGAGGGATGGATGTTGGAATATTGCATGACTAAAACCAAATCACAAAATCTTTGTAACTGTACCTCACAGTGATTCAATTTAAAATATTTTAATATGTTTCATTGAATAGAATCTGAAAGCAAATTACAACGTTTGACCAAGTAAACAAAATCCATCAACAATAGAATCCCAAGTATGTAAAATTAAATCATATATGACATAGAATGTAAGAGAAAATTAGAGAGCCCAGGAATAGAATGAAATATATCAAAACATTATTCATTAGCTCTGAGTGATGATAGTGAATCAGTTTTTCTAATTTCATAAACTTTCTGCAATAAATATAGATTACTACTATTCAGATGGGCTGAAGTGATAGCACAGTGGTAGGGGGTTTGCTTTGCGTGCAACCAACCCGGCTGAGCCGGGTTCGATTCCTCCGCCACTCTCGGAGAGCCCAGCAAGCTACCGAGAGTATCTTGCCCGTGCGGCAAAGCCTGGCAAGCTACCCATGACGTATTCAATATGCCAAACACAGTAACAAGTCTCACAATGATGACATTACTGGGCCCGCTCGAGCAAATCGATGAACAAACAACGGGAGGACAATGACAGTGACTATTCAGATAAAACCATTAAATATTCTTTTGTTTTGTTTTTTGTCTGGGGGACAGGACACCTGGCTGTATTCAGGGTTTAATCCTGCCTCTGAACTCAGGAATCACTTATGGAGGTATTTTGGGGTCTACATGAGGTCCAGGCGATCAAACTTAGATTGGCCACATACAAGGTAAATTCCTTAATCCCTATGCTATCTCTCTGGCCTCAAAACCATTAAATATTCTTAATGCCCTAAAAAATGTGAAACTGTCAGCTCAATAAATGGTATTTGCATTTCTAATACTAAAACCTTCTGCTAACATTAGCATTCACTTTAAATACCTGGCAGTCTTACTCTTCAGAGCCTGAAACAAAATTTCTGCAGATGAGTAACCATTTTAGTTCATTATGAAGCACATGTTCTAATGAAGAAGAAAAACATTAGATGAAATGAAGAGTCTTAAATAGCTTATGAAACTGAAGTTCAAAGAGTTAACTTTTTGAATTTTCCAAAAGCTCAAATCTTTTTAATGGAAGAACTAAGAGAACTGATTCTCCAAGTCCAGTATTTTTCCATGACATGATATGTTTTGGATGAAAATCACTGAAACCACAACAAAAATAGCACTTTAAGAAATGTACAGTTTTAAAAAAAAGCAAATAGACAAAATCTGTATGAAGCTTCACTTACAACTATTAAATCAGCAAGATACTAGATTTCACTCTCAATATTGGAGTGGCCTGAGAATTCTAGTTAGAGAATTATTAGATTGAACCAAAAGGGATACATAGAAACTTGATTTTTTTTTTAAGTAACACAATTCAGAGCTTAAATGAAAACATCTGTTTCACTTTCTTTGTTGATTATGAGACAGATTTTGAGACATCAAGCATGACTCTGTCATTTATTTGATATGCAAATAAAGTTCTTGGCTGCAGTGTAAATCTTATACTTTCAATTGTGCCCCCTTGTAGCTAATTATTTTTTATATCCCCTCCTGGGTCAAAAAAAACCCTGAGGCGGGGTTACCCATTAAGAAAAGCATCCTTCTCACAAAATGCCTACAGGCACAATTCCCCAAAAGAGTAGACCTTAATTAATTAGAATCCAGATCACTGGGATGATTGCCAATTCTGCTTTTTTCCACCGTTCCCAAAGGTTATGACCCAAACCCAAGGAAGAAAGGCCAAGTTGGGGAGGGAGGAGTGGGGTTGGGGGGACTAAGGGGAGAGAGGGAGGCAACCACATGGCAAAGGGATCAATTTCTATTGCAGCTATGAAGCAGACCCATTTATTAAGAGCCAGATACTGTTAAGTAATATTCAAAGACTACCAGCATCAGATGAAAAACTTGGAGATACTCCCAAAGGTTTTAGGCCCCAAGACCTGTTCTCCTACTGCCTTGTTCTTAGCAAACATTTTCTACACATACATAAGAGCCCCGCAAAACAAATAAAAGACATCCTGAACTTTCACTAGTCAAGTACATTTGATTGGGTCCTTTACTGTTTAGGAGTATTAGGCACTTCATTCTCACAAATGCAAACCTTGCTTTGGCTTATGTATCACAAAGTCAAACATGCAATTCCGGATCTCAGTGATGAACTACTTCTGCCTGGGATTTGTTGCAGTGGATCTTAACACTTCAAGGGGCTAAGACCTCACTTTTCCTCACCAGCCATTGTCTCCTCATCAGTGTATTCACTGACATTCACAGTGTACCAGAGGATAACTTCCAGTTATGTCAGGCAAGATTAGATTTTGCGAATGAGGTTTAGAGACCACTCTTTCCCTTTTTTACATTTATATCAACAGATATAGATAGAAAGTTGAAAATTCCATCTGAACCGCAAAGAGACACTCCAAATGTGTCTCTTTTAAACTTTAAAGGAGAGACTCCAGGTAATAGAAGTCAAATAAATACCTTCCCTCAGTAAGATACCATTGTCATTCTCTTCACAAAATTCCTAAATTTGAGGTGGGGGAGACAAAATTCAGGATATACTTTCATTTACATAAGCTAAAATGTAAAAGGTAAAGGCCCTCCCGTTGATCGTCGATTTGCTCGAGCGGGCCCAGTAACGTCTCCATTGGAGACTTTGTTGTTACTGTGTTTGGCATATGAATACTCTCAGTAGCTTGCCGGGCTCTCCGAGAGGGGCGGAGGAATCGAACTCGGGTTGGCCATGTTGGCTGCTCGTAAGGCGAACGCCCTACCGCTGTGCTATCGCTCCAGCCCAAAGACAAATATGTGTAATTTCTCCACTTTCATTCACCATTATTTTGAAAGTCTTTGTCACAGGATGTAAGTAAAGTAAAGGCCCTCCCGTTGATCATCGATTTGCTCAAGCGGGCCCAGTAACGTCTCCATTGGAGACTTTGTTGTTACTGTGTCTGGCATATCGAATACTCTCAGTAGCTTGCCCGGCTCTCCCAGAGGGGCGGAGGAATCGAACTCGGGTCGGCCATGTTGGCTGCGTGCAAGGCAGACGCCCTACCCACTGTGCTATCGCTCCACAGCTAGCAGAGAATAAATTAACGGGGAGAGCAATGATTTACAAATCACAGTTAACTATTAACTTTTTAACATTTTTTTCTTTTTTTATTGAATCATAGTATGAAATAGTATGATACACAGTTACAAAGTTGTTCATGACTGATTTTAACAAATAAACTAGTCAGGACCGGCATGATAGTACAGCAGGAAGGACATTTGCCTTGCATGTGGCAGATCAGGTTTGATCCCCAGCTTCCCATATGGTCCCCCAAGCATCAGCGGGAGTAATTCCTGAGTGCAGAACCAGGAGTAATCCCACATGCCTAGGTGTGACCCAAAAAAGAAAAAAAACTAGTCAGTTTTTAGCAAAAATAATTTTAAGATATGCTCTGCGAAAATAATTTTAAGATATGCTCTGCAACTTACTTTTATGAGATGAAAGCAAATGAATAGCATTCAAACTTGCATTAGGCTATTCAAGGAAGCAATTGCCAAGTTATACAACTAAATTTAAATCTATTATGCCCAGTTTTCTTTAATTTTCTACATGTCCACTGCTGCATGATATGCAGCTGCTATCACCCAGGAAAGTTCTAAACTGCTTATGGAAAAAAAAAATCAAATTTAGTATCATGAGAGCAATCAATGTATCTAATTTTTTCTCAAATTTTAATTGATTGTAAACTGCAAGTCACATCTGATAATACAATCCAATTAACAAAAAATTTCCCAACCCTGAACATCTAAAACCACAACAAATAAGACAAGGGAAACAGAAAAAGAGACAGGCCCCGCTCTGCCTCCTCATCTGATGCTGCACACTGTAGTATTTAAGTATGACTAAATTGTTACATCAGTGCCAATCTTACATCCCTATCTAAACAAATTATGCTCTAAGTTCTAAGTGCAGATCCTCTCCGCAGAGCTTCCTGAATATTCTGAATATACCTCCCTTGAGACACTGCAGGTGAGGAAGAAAAGAAAAAGAAGGGTAAGCTTCAAGACTTTTGAAATCGGAAAGAGGAATTAGGCTCTAAAAAGGAGAAAAACAAATAACAGTTTTGCTTAATTCCCATATTGAGTAAGTATAGTTGCTTAATTACTTTTTGAAAATTCACTAGTCTTTTCAATCGTCTATTTATTTATAGGAGTGAAAATATAATGCAAAGAAACATGCCCCACACAAGAAAAGAATATTTTTCTCCTCATACCTGACAATATCCCACCTCTCTTCTCCCCAAATCACAGCTTGTCTGATAGGATCTCAAATACTAAGCAATGTAAGCACTAAAAGGAGAAGCCTAACCCCGCTGAATTGGTAAAAACAAAATTGGAAATGAATCCACCTTGGAAAAATAAGTATAATATATGCTAAGGAAATGGGTAACTCGGGGAACCAGAGTATTTCAATAAATTTCCAGATGTTTGTGCTGCTGTCTGAATGTTTTAAAAAGGAAATAGCTTTTCATTACTTCATGAATCCTCCCTCATTGTAAAGCCAATTTCAAAGCCCCCAGCACTCAAAAGAGAAAGCCTGTACTCAGAGCTGTCGGGTTCCTGCTGTGTCTCATGCACCATGAATGTTCCAGGAACTCCTGAAAAAAAGCTAAGACTTGAAAACATGCCTGATTCTTACCTCCAAACCATAGAGTACTATACAGATATCATCATGATTGGATAGATTTACGAAATTTGAATAAAAAATCATATTCCTCAATCAATATTTGAAAACAACTAAACCAATA